ATATCCAGGAGAGTATGGTTTCTCAGGTTTCCCAGGATTAAAAGGAATAATGGGAGATGAAGGTCCTCCTGGTCTTCCCGGTAAAGTATTAAAGAAAAAACGATCATTGATTTTCATTTAGATCGAAAGTACAAATGTATATTATTTGCTTGTTTCGATAGGTCGAACCGAGACATTAGCCGAGCATGGTGAACCAGGACGAGCTGGTCTCGATGGAATGCCTGGAATTCCTGGTCGACCGGGTCAAAAAGGTGCTCCTGGAGAATACGGTTTTAATGGCCCTAAGGGAATTCGTGGAGATGTTGGATTTTCGATTCGTGGACCTAAAGGAATAATAGGAGATCAAGGTAAACGTCCTAGTACTAAATAAATAAACTTCATTTAGACGTGAATGAGAAGAAACGAAAAAGAAAGAAGTTAATTATTGATAATAATTAATGAATCGTATGATGCAGGTCCAACAGGATATGTAGGTTTCCCTGGTACGCCCGGTAACCAGGGATTACCTGGCATGTCAGGTATACTTGGTCCTAAAGGTTATGTTGGTGAACCAGGTGTATCCGCTAGTAGTGCAAAAGGTGCAAAAGGTGAACCAGGTTGGCCAGGGCTGGACGGTCGAATCGGTCCAAAAGGAGCAAGAGGTAACGCAGGTTTACCTGGTTCCCAAGGTTTACCTGGGCCTAAAGGAGAAACAGGAGATAGCGGAGAACCCGGATTACCAGGATTGCCTGGCCCTCCAGGACCACAGGTTATTTCTAATAAATATTTTTTTTCTTTCTTAATAATTGCTTAAGTTTTTAGTAAGTAGGTAACTTATATCAAATATTTTTGTCTTCTTATTAAGGGTCCGAAAGGAGATCGAGGTTTAAATCCATTTTTGAATTTCGATCGACGTGGACTTCCTGGAGATATGGGACCTGCAGGATTGCCAGGTAATGAAGAAATCAATTGAATTGACTTTATAACTGCATGAAAATAACTTACAAAACAAGATGTTTAAATAATTGTTTTTATTTTGATAGGATTTCCTGGACCTCGAGGTCCAATAGGCGACCCTGGTCCAGACGGATTTCCTGGACGAGAAGGAGAACGTGGTATGATCGGGTTACCTGGACCACAAGGACCTGAAGGTAAAGAAGGTCGTGCTGGTCATCCTGGCACACCTGGCACGGTTGGTAGACAAGGTCCCCCTGGTAAGTTTTAATATTAGACTCATTATTATATTGAACTATTGACTAACAATAAGTCGAAAAATAGTATTTTATTCAACTAGAATAAACAGTCGAGGATAATTTACCTTGAAATATTTATCTAGGCAATGTTGGCTTCCCCGGCATACCAGCAGCACCATCACGTGGCCCCGGTAATAGAGGATTCCATTTCGCTAGACACTCGCAATCCGTCATGATTCCACTTTGTCCAAAAAATACAGTTAAATTATGGGATGGATTTTCTTTACTTCATATTATGGGCAATGGTCGAGCCTACGCACAAGATCTTGGTAAGTACAGACAAATATACCTTATAGTATACTCTTATAAAAATTTATAATTGAAAAAATCGCATGCACTTTTACGATGCTTTTTAATTACAGGAAGTGCAGGAAGTTGCGTTAGAAAATTTTCAACGATGCCTTTTACATTCTGTAACATGAACGATGTTTGCTCTTATGCTAATCGTAACGATTATAGTTATTGGCTTAGTACCACCGAACCAATGCCAATGACGATGACACCTATTCCAGCCCCACAGATCGGTAGATACATATCAAGATGTTCAGTTTGCGAGGCTCCCACGAGGATTATTGCTATACACAGTCAATCTATGAATATACCAGAATGTCCTGGAGGTTGGGAAGAATTATGGATCGGTTATAGTTTTTACATGGTAATTACATAAGAATTCAAATTGATTTATTAAAATAATGGTTAAAATCTTGCTCATTATTAATTAACAAAATGAATGTTACAGCACAGAGACGCTGGTGCAGATGGCGGTGGTCAAGCATTGATCTCCCCAGGATCGTGTCTAGAAGAATTCCGTTTTAGACCATTTATCGAGTGTCGTGGCTTGGGTACCTGTAATTTCTTCACCACAGCGACTTCTTATTGGTTGGCGACTATCGAAGACTATGCTATGTTCCGTAAACCTTTGCAACAAACAATGAAAGCAGATCATACATCAAAAATCAGTCGTTGTGCTGTATGCCTTAGACGTCGTATAACCGAAGATCGTTCATTCAAACCAGAAGTAGGTAATATTTATCGTCGACCAACAAATTATCCACAGTCACGTTATTCCCCTAATTACCCACGGCAAAGAACGTCTGCTGGTAGAAATAATAATTATAATGTACCACGTGTACCATATCATTTTCGAAGAGGAGGCCGTTTACGTAAAACCAAACGAATAACAACAGAGGCACCGCCCTAATAAACGAGTCTTCAAATTAGGAGAATTTGAGTAGACAGTGATAAATAGACTCGTTCGATTAACCCTTCTTTGTACATATATTATAAAATTCATATGTATGTAAACTCTTTTTTCTTATGGCTATTGCTAAGTTAGCGAAAATACTCGATTAACTTTTAGCAATTGCACGATGGCCAAATGCGAATTTAAAATTATGTCAAATAACAATAAGAAAAGCGTCAATTTTCTCGCAATCCTGACACAATGGATATCAATTCAATTGAGATATTCACGAATATAATCAAATAATTAAATTAACATTCGCTCATATTACTATGGTACATTTCGTTAATATAAAGCTTTTTAAGTGTATGGAATAAAATAAAGATATTTTCTATAAGCTATTCCTTTGCTTTCTTTTCATAACAGTTTACAGTGACTTATATTATTCCTTATGTTACAGTCTATGGAATACGTCAAGCATCTAAATGTTTATAATTTGTTACTGGTAATTAAATAAGTTACATTTTATTTAATTGTAAGGTATGTTTAGATATGCCAAAGTGAATCTTTTGTAAAACAATTATTCATAATAAGTACTTATCAACCATCGGTTCTCTTTTGGTCGATAAATTCTTATGGTAAGTCTTAAGAAAAGTTATCGTTGATTTTTTAATCAGTTTACCGACATTCTTTACTTTCTTCCTATACTTTCATTGGATATTGCTTGCGTAATATCCAACCAATAAACGTTCTAGGCGGTAACGACAAGTACTTTTGACGTTCTAACTCTTTTATCATTATGCGCTCCGTTTATGTATTTTTCACGTTCAGGAATATCTGGAATTTTATTAAATTAAAAAATGAGAAAAAAACGTCAAAATTTGCATTCAAAGGTGTATATATTGAAGGTATTTTGATAGATACATTAATTTATATATTTCCAAGTAATTAGATATTTTTTTTATTAATTTTCATTCATTTATTAGAACTTCTACTAAACAAATTAACATTAAAATGTGTTGATATTAAAATGTAATATAAAAATATAAAGACGTTCTAATAAAAGTTATATTTGAAGATCATAATGGTAATTCTTTCTTATAATATCTTACACAAAATGAAATTCATTTGAATGTGATAATCGCTTTTATTGATTCATCTATTGATATTAAATGATTAAAAATGCGAATAATTAGATTGAACATAATAATAATAATAATAATAATAATAATAATAATAATAATAATAATAATAATAATAATAATAATAATAATAATAACAATTATNTAATAATAATAATAATAATAATAATAATAATAATAATAATAATAATAATAATAATAATAATAATAACAATTATAATAATAATTATAATAATATAATAATAGTAATAGTAATTTAGGATAACACTTTGATAATAAAATAAAATCAATTGACGATATATTTAAGTAGTCATAATTTGTAAATATGGAAAATATTCTGCACATTTTACGTATTTTTATTTTAAAACAGACTATTTTGTTAGGAACATTTACGATTTAAAAGGCACGTGATATTTTATCAGATCTTTTTCTTCGGTATTTTTAAAAATATTTTTCAATGTGTGTACATATTTGTATATATATATTTTCAATCTGATAAAACATACTAATTGCATAAACTTTGTTTTATGCATTTTTTACATAAGATTACAATAGAATAAGAATTTGTTCGTAAATCTTTCTTTTTTTTTCTATATTAGACAATGAAATATCTTTACTTAAATATTTACCAACAAAATTCTTTCTAGTCTTTCGATTATTAATCATACGTTTAGATATAGATCATAAATTTGTCGTATTACAAAATTATATATTACATAAATAGAAATAATATAAGCCAAAATTGCATTTAACTCTTTCGTTATTAGCAACTCATGTAAGGGTTGTGATCGATCTATATAAGGGTCTTAACATACGACGATTTGTATACATGAGCTAATTTATGTGAAATGATACTTGTGCTGAAGCATGCTTTAACGAAAGGGTTAAGTGTGTTTATAAATATATATTTATGTACAATTATAAATTATAGATTCATTCTCTCGCTGTACATTTTTTCTTTCTTTTCCTTTCTTTTTTTTCTTGTATATATTATACATTAACACATTTATATTTGTTGCGATATTGCTACTTTTTGTTGTCATATATAAGACTTTTTTCACAAGAATAAGTGATTATACAAGTGTATACATAAAAGATGAGCACACTTCTGTACCTATATATATATATATATATATATATGTTACGAGTTTGACATAGAAAAATATTATATGTGTGTTATCTTTTACAATTTAAATATATATATGTTTTGTTCATAATTGTGAGAATACATATGGTCTGATCTTCTAATATCATTAAATACATTCAAACAAGACCAACAAAAAATATAAATTGCAAGGAGGAAGAAAAATCCATCTTACAATGTATAATGTACTACTATATTGCAACACATTTTTAAACTTGTGAAATATTAAATTGCATATTAAATTTAAATTATAATATTATATATATCTCTATATATATAATAGTTAAATAATAGCACAAAAATATTTACATCTTTTCAATGTTACAAATTGTAAGAATTGTTTCAACATTCATCGTATTATTGCAAAAGATACTAACTAGAAAGAGAAACCAATAAAACATCATTTACATAATCTGTGCGTTAAGTGATATGTATATCTACTAACATTCTATATTCAGTATAGATAATTAGAATAATATTTATACACCGGACGATGAGATGTGCTCGAATTTATCGTTAAACATTATCTCTGCATCACTCTACGAAAACTTTTAAGTAAGATTAAATTTCATACAAATAATATATTATTTAAGAACAAAAAACAACAACAAAGGTATACTACTATCTTTCTAAATAAAAATTTAAATAAATGAAATATATGATAAATAATTTTAGCGAAGGCGGCCATCTATCACAGTTCACACAATTTATATAATCTATCTCTAATTGTAATTCTTTATTTGATAAATAATACTCGGCTAATCCGTAATTCATTAAAAGCTACTTAAAATTACAAAAAATACATTTTTCATTCTACGATTCTCTCTTTCAAATAATTTAGTAATTTTTAATTTGATAATAAAAATATTCCACGTGCCACACTGCTACTACGAATTGTTGCTGTTGCTGCTGCTGTAAAGCTTTAACGAACTATAACAATAATCAAGAAATTTATTTCTTTTCAAGGCTTCTCATGCTGAAAAATATGCGTGATTTATTTAGAAGAAATACTAATTTTTAATTTCTTACTCTTTTTGCAGCCGAATCTTATTTGAAATAAGTAATCATAGTCGCATTTAAATTAATCGTTTATTTCTTTTAAAGAAATATCACTTTATTCAAAGCATTAAGCTTTCGTGTGACTTTTTATACAAGTTTTGGCATGGAATGTGATATTTTTATTTATAGAGAATATATTCTATCAGGATAATGATTAACATTCAATCATTTAACTATGGTTTGGTTCTCATTAAATTTCATTTAATCTTGATTTTATTATGGAAGAGAATCAGCACCATTTACTTTAACACCATTAGTTTCTTCTAAAGAAACTTTCTTTTGTTTTTCTTGCATTTTGATACTTTTTTTATTAGCATCATGAAGCTTCTTTGTGTCTGTACCATGTACACATTTTTCTTTATTTATATTACACAAATTATTCGAATTGTCATGATTTTTTTTTCCTTCTTTTTTAATCTCCTTACTATTTAATTCTATATCCGTTGTATTATTAATATCAGTTTCAATATGACTATTACATTTCTGTTTATTAGAATTAAAATCATTAATGGTTTTTAACGTAGGATCGTAATCATCACTTTTGTGTGAATGGGTTTTCATATGTTTGTCAAGTGACGAATACGAAGTGCAAATGAAATCGCAATCATTGCAATTAATGCTCTCGTTCTTATGATCACTTGTTACATGCTTTTTTAGATCATATCTATTACTAAATGACTCTTCACATAATCTACACGTAAAAGGTTTCTCACCGCTATGCATAGCAATGTGAATTTTGAAGTACCAATCCGTACTGAAGTGTTTGTTGCAATAATTACATTTCAAGTCTTTTTTACGGTTTCTTTTTCGTACATTTTTCTTAACTCCTGACCGTTTACGCTTTGGTAATTCTTCTTTTTTAGGATTTTCTTCTAAATTGCTACTTGGCTTGTCTACAGGTTTTGGTGATATAACAGGCTTTATATCTGGTACAGTTAAAGCTGGTAATGAATTATCTGCCATAATACAAAATTTTGGAATACCTTGTGTTTGATGTAATAACGATGGCTGTGTTATTAAATTAGTAATTGGTACAACACGAATAGGAGTTATAAATGGTTTAGAATTTAGGGAAGAATCTGTAATAATATGAGATTGCGATAACAACCAATCATTCAATAATATAGTTTGTACGTCGGTTTGAGGTGAGTTAGTCAAATTTATTACTTTATTTGGAATCGTAGTAATTGAAGTATTCATTATAGGTTTACTGTCTGGTATATGAGTTATATTAGTTTGCAATGCATTAGTTTCGTTAGAGCCTGCATTTTTATTTAGAACTATATTTTGCTGTGGAAATACCAGAGGTATATTTAGTGGAAATTTTGAAGAGAACATATTACCGATGTTATCCGTTTGTTGCTGATTAATTTGGTTAGACGAGGAAGTTATAATCATACCAGATTGATTAGGAGACTGCGTTTTAGGAATAATTATTAACTCATCATTATTTCTTAAAAAATCCATAGCACGATTATATCCTGTTATTGGATCCATATAATCTTGTTTTTTTGCTTTTGCATTTTCTAACATTTGCAATTCTCTTTCGCGCATTCGTTCTTTCAAAAGTTGCGTGCTATCTATTTTATTATGCCTGTATTCATTTCGTCTTTTGCAATTCTTATGATGTACTCGAGATTTTAATGTTTTCAATCTAACACCACAGATATCACATATTTTATCTTTATCATATCTGTTTAATCCTATAATTGCTCTACGACAACGATCATGGTCGATACTTAATGCGTCACAGGAACTGTTCTTACAATGTTTCGACACAGGTGCATCTATTTCACATTCGTCTATATTAAAAGCTAACATAAGAGATATTCCATTGTTATCTATACACTGTTCAACAATAACATCACAAGTAATGTTCTCACAAGGTTCACAGTGTCCGCAATCCTTTTTCCTTCTTCTAATGGGTAGCAAGGAGATTTCAGATTTTCCTTCTGTTTTGGAAGGTAAAAGATTTTCATCTTCCACATTTTCATCCTTATTTGATTTATTACAATGTATAGTTAATTCTGATTGTTTGTCTCTACTTAAATCCGAATGGGTACCATTGTTTTTATTTCCATATACATTCGTGGAGATTTCGACAGTACTTGAGTTGGTAGCGTTTGATGTCAAATTTGATTTAGGTTGATTATTCAATGGAACAGTTTTGATAATAATATTAGGCTGATTAAGAAGCCGTCTTACTGGTTCAGACTGTAATATCTGTAAATTATAAACATTGTTATAGTAAATAATATTGAGCACATGGAATATCTCAAATGTAAATCATAGTTGATCTATTAAGACAATCGCTATTGGTGTCACATAATTGTATTACATCTATTTTCATTAAGAGTCGAGCATTGCACATTTGTGGTAGTAATTAATGCAACAAATAAGTATAAAGCAGTGGATAGAAACTCTTTTTCAAAGTACAGTAACAAACACGCTAATTAATCATATGAGTTTCAAGCAGCACAATCACATTGTTAAGATTTCTTGTTGAAAACATTACATGATCGCATAGCAGGGCATTTGTCGACACAATTTTTCTAAAGACTATAGACGTATATGATTCATCAATAAATTGTTGTTACGCTTACATGATAGCATCCCCTATATGTATTGAAATATTTGCATTAATACTTACTTCGGATAAAGTCTTCTCAACATTATTAGATGATAATGGATTTAAGCTGATAAATTGCGGCAGTGATGTGTAAGCCATATTAAACACAAAATACGCACAGATTTGAATTTCTGCAAGCACTGCGATTGTGATTAGTGATCGGTGACTTAGAAGAAGAAGAAGAAGAAGAATATTAACAATTATTTAAATTGTTAAATGGACTGCTATTCCTCGAGTTCTTTCTGAAAAACAAATAGGAATTAAACCACATTTTACTTTGTTAGAAAAGAATAGGTTAGTTGATTAAAATCATCTTTATTAGGATAAACACATGAAAAAAAAATTGAAAGATATTTAATAAGCGTAGTGATTACCGTTAAATAAGCTACTTATTACCTATGATCAAGATAAATTAACAATTATAATTAATAACCAAAAAGAAGCAACTAATAATCCAAGAATCCTCAAATGTAATTTAATCGATTTCTTTTATTTTGTCTTCTTTTTTATTTAGCTTCTTTTTTGTGAAACATAAATTTTTTTTTTTACTACTTTTCATATAAATCGATTGAAAAAAATAATAGATGAATCAACATACCTCAAGAAAATTGTAACGAATAATCCTATTATATATCTACACTTCACCATAATTACCGGCAATCGTAAATTACCAGAAGCCATTTTATTAATGAAATATTCATATTTACACACTATCGTCAATGTGACAGCTTATGACATAGCCAAAGGTAGCCGTTTATGCGGTTCTGATTGGACACGGTTTACCTCCTGCGCCATCTGCACGAAATCGAATATTATCTCGAACTAATATCGAAATAAATCAAACGATTTATTTTTATTCTCGAAATTAGATGACGTACATTAAATTATTCTAATAGTAATAAATAATATAATTGTAAATAAGTAATAATTATATTTTTAATTAATTGATTATCCAATATTTTGTTTTAAAATTGTTTTTAACTATTAATGAAATTTTTGTTTTAGTTTCAGTTTTTTCCCTGTGATTCAAGTTAAAAGAATTTAAGAAGAACAATTGTTATAAACATCTTTCGGTTATATTTTATTTTCAATATTATATTATTATTATTTTATTTTTTTATATTTAACTACGCATGTAAATGTCGATAAGATCAAATGCAGAAAACTGTAATAGTTCATATACATAAAAAAGTAATAGTTCATATATTCCACGAGAGAGGTCCTTAGTATGAAATATTTTAACATAGCGGAATTTCAAGTTGTTCTTTGCGATGGGGACGATGGTCTTATAGGTCCGATATTATTATTGTTATTTGGTTGTACCATGACCTCCTTTTACACAACGCTTCGTGCATTCGTACTAACCGATCGTGAAAACATCATGCCGAATAAGTAAATTCTAATCATTTGCTAATCAAATTGTCTTTTCTTTTCAAACACAAAATATTTTGAAAAAGTCTAATTATTCGTCTGATCTTTAAACTATTACCAATACAAATTCGTATAATTCATATTATTTATCAATTTATGTAATAATAAATACAATCTTTTAATTTATATTTAATCAAACAAGCCACTGATAATAGACCGATTTTTTTTTCAACTTTTCCAGTCACATGGTACGCTTATCTTGCGCGCGAAATTTAATTCAAAAAACTTTAAATTCAATTTTTTTAATTCAAATTTGACGATGGGTTAAGCAATAGGCTTGCACGCGCATGAGAGAATCCAACATCGCGATATATATATATATATATTATATACATATAGATGAACATTCAGTCTCTCGTCATGTGCATGTGTCAAAATCAATATTTGGCGTCACTAGGTTATGATAACGCTGCAGTATATCGCGCCAGTACATACATATGTGTGTGTACGTGTGCATAATGCTAATGTACATATGTTCCTGTCGTGCGACACGTTCCTTTTTATTTTTATTTTTTTATTTTTAATCAAATATTAATTCTTTATCTATCCATCGAACTTATCGTCCCAATTTTTTTTTTGCCTCTTCATATATTACAAAAAATAATTCTAATAAGTATTATAATAGGCAAAAGTAGATATATATGAAAATATATACAATATAGGAAAAAGAACTATCGACTTTGAAATAAATACAGATTTTTTCCTTGTTTTTTTTTTTTTTTTATTTATCATAACTAATACATGTAAGTAGATGTAAATCCATTTTCCTAATAAACGATCCTATTATAATAAATTATTAAAATTTTTAATTAAAATTAATTTTAATGAATAATTTCAATATATTATTTAATTATTTATTAATGAATTTGAAACGAAGTTTATTAGCAAAGAGATAATGCAAAGGTTTAAGTTTGGCTTTTTCATTTTATTCTTCCACTAGTGAATATTTGCTAGGAGTATAGACATATGTATGTATGTATATATATATATACATATACGTAGACAGCGCAAGTAAACGTAAGTGCATCATATATATAAGAGAAGATTCTGTGTTTGTGGGTCCGGATATATAAGTCGACGTTGTTACCGCATCTATCACGTCTTCTATTGCAACAGATGCCTGTTGCTATGCAGCCAGTACGACACCGACCTGTTTTCGACCATCTACGATTCCTCCCAACCCCCTTCCGAACGCCTCTTAACCCTCTTTTTCTTCTCGATGACGACGACGACGAACTTTATCTACCTTCTCATAGAATCATATTTCATTATTAACGTTTCATCTGTGTATTTGAGATACGCAATAAAATTACGAGCGTGACGAAAAAAAAAACATCGAAAATTTTCAAACTTATAATCCTAAATCCTATTTTCTTGGGATTGAGGTGGGAGAGTTAAGAATAATAATTAAAAGAGAAACTTATAAACTATTTAATGGAATATGTATGATATCGATCAAATACAACAATATCAACTTTATTACCTGTAATAATGCGTTTAATTGTTATAATTAGCGAAATGGATTATTCGTATTTCCTCTATCATACAAATTCCAAAATCTATTGCGATGTGGAATACGAGAGGTAAAAAAAAAAGAAAATAGAAAGAGAAAGAGTCTGAAAAAAATAGAAAAAATATACTATATCTATATGTATATTAATGCCTCCACGATTATTGAAAATTATTGGAAAAAGCAAATGCAATTAATTTAATCGGAAATTTTTTGATCGTGTCATTGGTGATTCTTGATAAAATTTCGTATTAAACTATTTTCGATAAATTGAACTTTCTATTTGATTTATGGATCATCAAAAAGGGTTAATAGGAAAGTTAAAAATTTAGAAAATTTTTACTTTTTAAATTTCTTTGCTTTTTTTTTTTTTTTTTTTNTTTTTTTTTTTTTTTTTTTTAATATGGTTGTTTAGTAGATGGCGTCGCGTTGAAACGATAAGAAAGAAAAGAAAAAAACGTAGCGTCCCTATCGCGCGTAATTAAGGACCAAGAGGGGGTGGATCGGAGATAGAGGCGGAGAAGGATGAGAGAGAGAGAGAGAGGAGAGGGGTATATAACATCGATCGGTTCTCTCGCGTATAGATATACACACATGTACACGCAGCCACGCACGCATACAGCTGCGTAGTCCCGCGTGGCCAGGAGAGGGCGAGGAATATAAGGGTGGTAAAGGGGTGAAGAGAGTAAGGGGTTTCGTTGTCGAGGTTGTTCGTGCCGAGGGAGACGAAGAAGAAAGAAAAGAGATGGAGATATATAGTCGTTAAAGAAAGAGAAGGAAGGAAGGAAGGTTTAAGAGCTTGCCGAAAGTAAGATAGAAAGAATGTGTGTGTGTGAGAGAGAGAGAGAGAGAGAAAGAAAGAAAAAGAATGAAGGAAAGAAAGAAAGTAAATATATGAAGAAAGAAGAAGAAGAATGGAAGAGGACAAGAGAGAAATATGGACGTTCGGTTGGCTCCGAACCTACCCTAAATCGAAGAAGCATGGGACACACCCTGGAAGAAAATGGGGATGTGGGGTGGTGGTGATGGTGGTGGTTTGGCTGGGCAGGATGGGATAGTACCATCGTCTCGTCCCCACCTTTTATCTTTCTCTCTCTCCGTCATCCTCTCACTCTTCGATATCTTATTTCGTTGTCTCACCCTCTTCCTCTCTACCATCGGACGAACTACCCCCGAAGCATCTCTCGCGTAGGTAACGCGACGGAAGCGCAGCCTCGGCCCAGCAGCAGCCTCTTCGACGAGCCTCGTCTATCCACCGGCGTCGATTCGCCAATGAGGGCCACCCCGCGACGAGGCAGGTGTGCGGGCCACAATGGAAGACGCTGTGTAGAGAGACAGATGCATCAGAGACGGAGAGATGTAGCGCACCCTCTCTCTCTCTTTCTTGGTATGTATATACATGTGTGAGCAAGAGGGAAAGAAAGAGAAAGGGATGTAGTTTGAAAAGAGAAAGAGAGAGGGCGAGGGTGACGGAGATGGAGTGGGAGAGGAGACGGTGGGGGAGAGGGAGAGAGAAGGAGACAGTGAGACGCGGCAACGCCCATTTTTTGATAAGCTAGTTACCCGTCGCCGCCACCACCGCCGCCGCCGCCGCCGCCACTGCCGCACTACCGCACGAGGGGGTGTTTTGAGGCGCAAGGCTGCGTGGGAGGTGAGACGAAGGAGGAACGAGAAGGAGAGAGAGAGAGATAGAGAGAGGGAGACTGAGCAACGATGAGAAGGAGGTAAAGGGGTGGCTAAAGGGGTGGGAGAGGTGAGTGGGTACGCCGGGTGTCGGCTTCTACGGAGATCAATAACTGCATAAAAATAAAGTGAGGCTCTGGCCCGCTACCTTTAACCCACACTACCCCTTCCGAGTTCTCCACCTTCACCTTTTCCTCCACCTCTAACGGCGTAGTTCTCCTACGCCGCCCCTCGGACGCCTCCTCCTCCTCCTCTACGCAACGTCTTTCGAGCTCGATCCCTCTTCACCCTCTCCACCCGTTTCTACCTCTCACTCCTCATTCCTCTCCTCTTTCATCTCCTCTTACTCTTTCTCTTACACCTTCCTGCCTCCAATGAGAATCCGGAGGTTATTGCTTGTATTTTCTTAAGGGATGAATTCTTCTCAAGGAGAGTCCTAACACCGATACCAGCATCATAACCGTACACTTTCATCAACGTGCTTACTCACTTGTTATAACAATTCGCCTACTTGTGGTCCTTGTAACTGGGTGATGGGAAAAGGGGGGTGTAATTTTTTTCGTTTATTTCATTTTTGACCTCTTATTCTATACATCAGTCTTAAGGAATCGTATTTCCTATTCTTCCATGTATTTATATATATGAAAAAAATCAATGGAATTCTTTGGAAAAGAAAAATATGTACGATGATTTTTCTATCTCAAATTTTTGTAATTTTTTTTTTCATTTTCATTTAAAAGAAATTTATGATCGATAAGGAAAGGATGCGATCGAGTTGAAAGATCGTAGACTTTGATAGTTGGAAGTACGTGCATTGAACCCTGCAACGGTTCCTCGTGTTTAGAAAGCAACAAGTCCTTCTTAAGCTACCATGCGAGTCTGGATTTTACTTGGAAACCGAATACAAGAGATCGATACGTTTATCTCGAGGATTCTATGAACGTTTCTAGCAATAATCGAAAAGTACGTTTCTTTCTTATTTGTTCTTTTCTTTTTGTTAAGAAAAAGAAGAAAAATAAGTAAAAAGAAAAAAAAATAATAAATGGAATCTATATATCCTGCTCGACAATGACAATCTTTTCTCGTATCCTGAAATGACACAAAGAAGTTGCATCGATCCTCTTCCAAGAAAGTTATCG